CTTACAGCAATTATTAATAAATAAGGTGCTAAACTAGTCCAAAATTGGAAACCCAAGTTGGAAAAAGAAAGTAAAAATTCCTATTGGAAAAATAAAGATAATGCTTCTGTACCTGAATGTTTTCTCTCTTATTACGGCCGAAAAATGTAACTGGGTAGAGAACACGTTTGCCAAGAAAACATACTGTTGAAGTGGGCAAACTGTTAATACTTTAAGTGTATATTTTAAGATACCCATTCTTAGTTTTGTCATGCACCCTTAGGCCTTTTCCCCACAAAAGATGCTTCAGTTGCTCCACCTCAGCTGGAATGCTTCAGGAACCAAAACCTCTCAGCCCCCCAACTTATTTAATTTTATTCACGATCAGTCGACAGAAGGAAGGGTGAAGATCTACCTGCCGGCATTCTTGACAAATCCAATATCGGCCAATACTTGTTGGCAGATGTCGCAGCGGAAGCACTCCGGATGCCAGCTGTTGTTCATAGCTTTAATGACACGACCAATAATGAACTCACCTGTAAGAAACACAACACCATGCTAGACAAAGTTAAAAGCAACCCACACCAGAACTGCTACAATGGCATCACCATCCTCTTCCTCCCCCCAGATCCGTTAGGGTAGACTGCTTTCAGTACCAAAGTTCTGGTTCTAAACTCTGGAATTTGGGTTGGTTTGGTTTTGGGGTTTTTTTGCTATGAGTCAGAAGAAAACGTCCCTGCTAACGGAGGACCTCCTGTTCTTTACATACAAGCCCTTCCACATGCACACTCTACCTTCTCTCTGCAATCACCCTTTTTCAGTCCCATCCCTGGTTTTACTTAACTGTTCTCAAGCTGTTAAGAAATACGTGGAGTTTGTTATATAATATGGCTTTCTCGTGTCTGAATCATCTTTCTCCCTCTTTTCTTTAAGACGATGACAATTTTAACTTGTCATGTACATAGTAGTGGTTTCTACTCCACTAGGACCAAGCCTTGAAGGGGCTTTATACTCAAAGCACAACAAAACTGAGCTTGGGTGGCTGGGGACCTCCTGCAAAAAAATTCCCATGGAGTTAAAACGCAAAGCTGCAGAGAAGCTGCAGAACAGTTAATCCAACACACACAACTTCTGACCCACCACCAGGAGTCCTGTCCTGCGAGGCATTAAAAAAACGGTGTGAGAACCCTGTTTTGCACGCACAATCTGACTGTACTGCACAGGCAGTGGAGCCATGTCCACCACACATGTGACTTAGTCGTTCTCTATGCAGATGTTTGTAGCCAAGGCCCCTGAGCAGTGCAAAGGCTCTGCCTCAACATCTTGGGAGCTCAGCGTCCTGGTGCTGTGGGAGGCCGAGTCCTGGCTTTGGAGAACGTACAACTCAAACAGCTGCCAAAGGGAGCGATTGGGCAGGTGACCGATGCAGACAATAACATCCAGTGTGCGACTCTGTGGCGTTCCCATGAAGTCATAGCTTTTGAAGAACAAAACCCGATAGACTCCAGAGATGTCAGGAATGCTCAAGGCCTCATTGCTGACAACAGCCGTGCCGATTTTGGCTGTGCTTACTAAATCCAAGCAGTGGCAAAGCCCAGCTCTGCATAGGACCTTGATGCGGTTTTAAGGGAGCTGGTGGTACAAGGAGCCCGAGCAGGAGAAGTGGGAACTGTGCCGACTGGGCAGGAGAAATCCTGGAGATAGGCAGTGTAGCTCCTCAGAAATTGCCACCGACCCATTTCTTCCTCTTCCCCTGCTTGTTCACACCCGCAGCTTTAAATTCAAAGGTCTGTAACATCTGTTTCCCCCCGCATCGGTGTTCAACCCCTCCCTCTGCATGGGGAAAGGCTTCGCTGAGGTAAGTGAAAGCCATAGCACCTTGCCAAGGTGCCACAGAAACACACGAGCTTCCAGATCAGCAGCAGTAGTCAAGTAATGACTTCCCAGCCCTGCCCAAGCACGATGTGTCACACACAGGGGGTAAAAAAAAACGTGCAAGTGATTACAGTGCAGGGACACACAAGCATCTACATCCACAGTGGCCAATAAAAAGCAGCCCTCAGTGTTATGCAGGGCGGACATTAGACCCTGAAGCCTTAAAGGTATTTGTTTCAAAAATACAACAGGGCACCAGCTGACCATCATTTGAGTGTAACACTACCTGATGAAGACTGTCCCAGCTTCTGCGGAGCAGGACAGCACAGGCAGGTTACAACAGTCAAAGAAGATGACAAAGGCTTGTTACAAGCTTTCAGCTGCATGAGAAGGGCCAAGTATGAGTGTGCAGATGTACAGATATGTATGATCAAGAGTCATAAATGTTGTATATAATCAGGAGTTCATGAATGGTCTGTTTATTGGATCACTGGATCAACAGCTAAACTACTCACTCAAATAATGCAAACTTTTTTTCCTATTGTTTGATGACCTTTAGGAAAAGCAGCTCCCCAAATTCTCTGCAGTCAAGTTCATTCTGGAAGTTCAGATGCTGCACCTCCCAGAGAACAAACACAAGGGTTGCACATCTTTCCCCAGTGACATTCCCATTTGTCAACAGCGTGAAGTGTTCCACCTCAGTGTAAAACTTACCACATTGATGGCAGCAAGGGGCAAAAAGCATCTGAAAATCATGCTCGCAGTACTTCCTCCCTTCAAACTGCAAATGGAAAAAATCTGAGCGTTAGAGGGATGAGGAGCATGCTCTCAAAATAAATGCTGTAACATACCTGTTTGTTTCTAGACACAATTATGTAGTAAAACGTGAGGGGCTGCACAAAAAAAACCAGACCATATGCCAAGCATTAAATCCACCCACCTTAATTCAGCTACTAGTTAGCATGTAGTGTCAACAGCACGCCATTTCTGTAATACTGCTGAGAGTGTAAGGCATTTTCCATCACCCATTTACACCACAAGAGACATCTGAATTTTGACAGACTGCTGAAACTGATGCAACTGAGCAGATTCTGGGCAGGAAATTAGCTAACAAAAACCCTTCCTGGGGGTAGTATTTTCACTGAATCCATTTGATCTCTTCCCCACTTTACATCTCCTGCAAGAATGACCCAGTAATAGTGGAGGAAGTAAGTACGGGGGGCGGAAGAACACCCAGGGACAGAAATCTTTGCAATTTATGGAGCAGTCCAGCCAAAACATGAAGGGAAATAAGGCTTCTCCTTCCTCACGCTTGTTTCAGAGAATCACAGAATCAATTAGGTTGGAAGAGACCCTTAAGATTACCGAGTTCAAATTTTAAGGAACAACGCTCACTACAGTGACCAGATGAAACAGAGAATTGATCTTAAGGGATCTGAATTTTCTCACAGCTTAGAGAAGTTCAGCTACAGTTCAAACATGCATAGAAAAAAAAAAAACATATGAGGAAAAAAAAGTTCTACACCCCTGCATTAGCAACTCAGCCAAAGAATATGTAAAAACATGTAGGTAAGTATGTCCTGAAATGAAGGGAAACGTTCAGATACCTTCAGGCACATTATTACTAGACATGAATGCCAACTAGCATGTCAAAACCAGATAGACAATATTAGGTATGCTAGAAAATGTTTGGATTTGAATGTCTCAGTTTAAACCAGTGGAAAAAGGGGGATAGCAGGAAACCCCACTCCTTTCTTTCTACTGGGTCTAAGACAGAACAAAGCGAAGAGCATAAAATACTAACTACAAATTAAATTCTGGTGCACAGCCAGAAAATACAGTAATGTGCTTCAAGATAACCTGTTTTATACTATGAAATTCTAAGGACCAAATACAATACAAGTATAGTAATTACTCATGCAATATGGCATGATAAAGATTTAATGAAACGCTCTAGAAGTCACTGGGTACTCGAAATCAGAAACTTAATTCCTGTGCCCAAACTGAATTGCATCTACTAGGAACAGAAAGACACTACTCTTTCAGAAGTCTCTGCTAGTAATTTATCAAATGTTTTTCCAAATACTCCGAAACAGATGACTTTTGTAATTGAAGCTTTTGAAAAAAAATAAACATGAGAGACAGAGGGCTATTACTTTCTCAAAGAGTAATGGGAATTATTGGTTCATTGTGAATTGTGCTTGCTTCCTGACGGATAAAATCCTTCTTAAACTGAAAAAAAAAAATCCAAAAGCTTCCTGTTTTGTGTAAACAGGTGGTCCAATGGGAGATACTTAGGTTTGCTTGGGTTTCAGAGCCATCACATGTTGATCTGGGTGGACCAAACAGGTTTTCTTCCCCTCTGGTTTGCGTCAGGCAGGTTGGTTACCTTTCAGTCTTGTTTATATTTTCAACCTTCTAGGCAAATTTGTGCTGCTTTTTGCGGATGACCCAGCAGTTCATCCGTCAGAGAAAGCCTCGAGCTTCTGTAACAAATCCCACAGCACATATTTTAAAGCAAGGTCATTTGACTGTTGTGTGCTGGAGGTCCATGAGTTAAATGGCTCCGCACAGAACATTTCACTGTGACATAACCTCCAGCTGATCTCCATGTTCTTAGCTAACTTAGTGGAAAGACAGGCACAAAACCTGAGTCTTTAAAGACCCTTTCTCTAAGGCAGTTTCTGGCAAAGCCCATTTTAAGAAAACACTCAAGGTGCAACTGGAATAGAAACAAATCTGACAAATGCATTGCAGCTGCACATTCCTTTCATCTTCCTATAGGTTATTATAACAACTTGGAAAAAAAAAACCAAACTGAAAGGAACTCCCTTTCATTTATGAGACAAAAGTCACATGCTATTCCATTTTACTTTATTATTATTATAATAATTTCGTATTGTTTATTATTATTATTTATTATAAGATAATAATACAGATTCCTCAATTATAGCTCTTGTGAATAGTCCATAAGGATTCTGCTGTATTTCTTCTATTGTGGGATGCACCTCTCTAAGCCCTTCCATCTCCCCACCTCAGCACCACACGGAGCACCCAGCAAGAGGCTCTTAACGAACAGCTCTCCATTTAAGCCGGCTGTTCCACTGTTAGTATAGGACTGCGGGCTGCTACCTGTTGTAAGACTCTGCAACAGCAGCTCTAGGGAATGCACAGCTTCCAGGTGGAGGAGTAAAAGCAGACCACATCTGACAGCAAAGCACGGCGAGTTTGGACACTCTGCTGGTACGTGCTTGTGCTAATTTCTGTTTAGGTTGAGTGCCTGAGAAAACATGCTAAAGTGATGATCCTGAGCAAACTCCAACATAAATATACCCTGGCAGGTCCTAAACCCCTAGCTCCTGTGCAACATTAGGCACGCAGCTCTTGCTTGCACCCTCATGCAACAAGGCCATCACCGACTGGTTATGAATCCATATGATCATTTCTAACAAAGGCTCATGAGGATATCAACAAAATTCCTGCTACTCTGTGCAAACTCCAAGCCCTGGATGGGCACTGCTCCGGCATGGCACCGCTTGTGCCTGCAAGCAGCTCGGCTCTGATGCCAGACCACAGTGAGCCACGGTGACTGGGGTCCCTGCGGGCAGCCCCGAGACACATCCCATGGTGCAGGAGACCTTGATCGGCCTGACCAGTTCATCCCCCACCCATGGAACACAGCGTGAAAGCTTATCACGGCAGCGTTTGACGGCAAATGTGATAAGCAGCTTAATGACTAACTGGGAGAAGTCTGCACCGCTTGCCACAGGCAGGGGAAGAATATTTGACTTCCCGATTGCTAAAAGCTTCCATTTCCAAGAAACACTAGCTTAGCTAAACCAGGCACAGAATAAACACAAACTCATGCTGGGCAACCAACAACGCCTGCCTTTACCCACGGGCAATCGGCTCAGAAAAACACATTACTTGGCCACACCTCCAAAAGCATCCACCTTCTCAAAGAGTGCATTAAGCCAGTCAGAGGAAGATATCCTTTCTGCCCGTCTTCTCCAGTCGCTTTTTTTTTTGGACAGCGATACAGATCATCTCAAGTCCTTAGAGCAGCACTGTCAGCCAACTCTTGAGCACTGGCCCACCTAAGCCCACTCTGTACCTTCTTAGGGCTGTCCTTCCCTCTCCCCCAAACTCTGTCACCCAGTACGTTCTCATCTCTAGTACTGAGGTGCTGAATGAAAGAAGAGCAAGCTGTGCCTTTGTCCACCTTCTCCCTGAGCAGCACCACCAGGAAACATGTTGGGGTTTCCACTCCAATCATCTCCCTGGCCACTTCAGTGCTAAGCGAGAGCCTTTCTGGCAGCATGAGACACGCATGGACACCCTAAAGGGTGCAGAGACAGAAGAGAAGGCCCTGCCAAAGATTTTCCGGCTGAAACAGCCCCAAAGGCACAAGGACTGGGACAGCACAGATATCCACTGACCTCACCACTCTCTAGAAGGTGCCCAGGACAGGACAGGACAGTATAGATGGGAGAGGAAGGCTGGGTGAGATTTATCAGCCATCACCTGAAGGCTGTCAGAGGGCTTAAACAGACCAAAATGTACCTCTCTTCAACAGCAGCACACAGACTTGCTGGTGTGGGGAGGAACTGCAAGGCCTTGTGGTGGACTCTAGAGGGGCTACAGGCAGAAGGGTGATGTGAAGTTCAAGACACACACGAGTCTTTACATATCCATTTAATCCTCATCACAATTATTTTACCTCTGTAATAGCTATGGCAGAAAGTGTCTATTCTTAACCAAAACTTTCCACTTTCTATGTAACATTTCTCAAGAACAAAGTCTCTACCCAGCCTGAAAAAACCCTAGTAACGTTAACCAAAACATGTTTAGTACATGGGGCTATTTTCATTCCCAGGACAATCTATCAACACTTACTTCTGACTTACTGTCTTTAACAGGTAGCATCACTTTGCAGTAAGAGAGTGTTCAAAGACAAACTATCATGAATGTGAATGTTAACAAGGTAGCAGTAGGAAGCAAAATGCCTACATCCAATATATCTAAACACCATCGGGATACTTGGCCCTGCCAAGGAGATTCACGTATGGCAACCTGTAAGCAACAGAGAGGTTGTAATATTCCTGGACTAGGTGCAAAAGTAAGACTTTCTTTCCATTGTGGCCCTTGTCCATTCCCTAGGAGTTACAGGCTGCCTAAAGCAGGACTTCTCAAACTTTTATCTTTAACAAAGGACGTTCCTTAACTTTCTGAAAGACGTCCCTGGAATGTCAGAAAAGGGATGAATGAAGTACTCATTATTTAGAGAAATTACATTTTATTGTTTTAAGTCAGTTTTATTAACACAATTACAAATATTTTAGTTTTAAAACTTTCATATCACTTTATGTTTGCCTCAGGTCTTAACACGTCAGGATGGACTCCTTACCAGGCCTGCAAGCAGGCAGCAGCTCAGTATATATAAACAATTGTAATGCAACACATAATTATATCTAGGGGGTGTTTTGTTTTGTTTTTATTTAATTGCTACTGCCTTGCAGCTCACCTTTTGATGTCTTACAGAACACTAGTGGCTCATTTACCACAATTTGTGCAACGCTATCCCTACAGCACTGAAAAGTCTTTTGATCCTCAAACAAGGTGAGAGAAAGCAAACCCCAGGAATCCCCTTCTCCAGTCTCTTTTCCAATCCACGCTCCTCCCTCAGCCTCTCCTCATCACCACGTAACATGAGTCTGTAAAATTAGAACTACTCCTGTGGAAGATGAACTGTTGTGCTCTTGACACAAGGATGGCACACTGTATGTGAGAGCACAGCATTGTGCTTTTAACGCACTGCTCACCTTCCTTTTCCAATCACAGTATGACATAAATCCTACTGTAAGTTGGACCACTTGAGCAGGACCTTATCTCTCAGACAGTAACTCCCTGTCTCACATCATCAACACTTACTTATACCCATCACTTCATATTTTATGAACTAGTCTAAAGCTTTGACTAAAGCCACTTTGTGTTTGAGAAAGCTGAGCTACATCCTGAATCCCCAAGACAGGGGAAGGAAAAAGAAAATGACACCGGTATTGAAACACCCATCTGAGCTGAGGACAATCTACCTGGGGCTGAGAAATATGAGAGTGGGTTTTAACCCTTGAAAGCATGTAAGAACTGCTAATTTTCAATACACCTGTTTGTTAAACCTAGAGTTGACCCTACGTAGACCCCGTCTGGTTTGGGCTCTCTGTACACTCTGACACACAGGTCATCTCTATGAGCAACTTTTCACATGCCGTGCTGGCCTCACTCAGCTCAGCCATAAATCTCCTATGGACTGCAGGATGCTGGGGTTTCCCTCTATATGACTGTTCTCCTCTAAGAAGTATGCTTTCTCTGCATTTCTGGTATGGTATATCAGATTCACAGATTTCAGGGAAAAATATCTACACTGAGAAAGAAATCTCCAGCAGTTTTTTTCTCAGCTCTGATAACATCAGGCTACACATTTAAAGAAGTTTACATACACTAATGTCCTCCAAATTAGCACAGAAAACGCTTCTGCTTTTTTTCCCCCCTCTACTGGGCATATCCTTTCGGAGCCCAGTTCTTGCCACGGGACTTCCTAAACTATCGATCTCCCCGTAGCTACTTCTGGTATGGGAATGAAGGCAGAAAGCAAAGGCTGGGGGCGAGAGGGGCACGCCGCCCCGCTTACCTCGTAGAAGAGCCCTTCGGGAAACTGCTGAAAGCACTGGGCGCAGACGAAGCACTGCTCGTGGTACAGCTCACCATTGCTGTTGACGATTTTCTCGGCAGGGGCAAAGCCACCCCTGCAGCGCTCGCAGATGGCATTCGCAAGCGCGTTTGCCATGTTGCTGTCATAAAAAAACAGAAAGAAAATTAGCCCAAACAGGCAACACCACTGGTTGTGAGTCTCTTTTTTTTTTTTTTTTTCTTCCCCCCAAAACCAACTGCATCAGCCTAACACCAGGCTGCTCAACACAAGTTTTTCAATGGACTTAATGACTTGTGGCATCTCCTCAGAAATGAAACCGCCATTTCCCCTGCTCCTAAACTCTTTAGAAACAAAACCCCTGCAACACACTCTAATAACTATTAATTCAAAAAAAACCCAGAAATGTCTTTACTACAGACACATTTACAGGCTTTTTACGATTAGAAAAAGCAGGAAATTCAAAGAAGTACTATAAAAATGACAAAATACATTAGAATTATAGAAAACAAGGGGAATTATTAACAATTATTGAGGACTGGCATCACATAGGAAAATATAAATGATAATGCCAAAATAATTCCTAATTCTAAAATACATACAACA